GTAGGGGGACAAAGCTCTCCAAAACACACTGCTGTCAAGAACACAGGGGTGGCCAGGAAAGAACAATAGTCCTGGCCTCTGTTGACTGAATTCCTACATCGTGCTAATGCTGTAACTAGATTCTCTTATTTAATCCTAATAGCACCCTCTTGGATCTGTGACCCCAGTTTTGTAAACATGGAGATGGAGGCACACAGTTGCAGCACTAGTCAGTATTAAAGCCAGCATCTGAACCCTCACACCTCACCCAGGGCCCACCATCCCCCTGTCCTCTGTTCATTTCTTTACAAATACTTACCTTGCACTTACACGGACAAAGCATCAAGGTCAAAGGGTATCAGGCAGCTCTGCATTGAGTGCCCACTGTTCAGTGGATGTGATGATCCACCCCTGGACTGGGAAATGCTCCAGTGAAGAGACATACAGCTACAACAAGCAGGCCTGTCCTTATGCCTACTCAGAGCCCTCCCAGACTCCCCTTCTCTCAWCAGCACTCTCAGCGTGACATTCAAGGCCCTTCAGGATCTGGGCCCTTGACCCTGCTGCAGCTTCCTCCTTCCTCTTTGACCCCCTGAGCCCAGACATCCTGGACACAGTTCATCTCTGCAGCAGGAGGGTGCGGTGGCTAAGGGGCTCACTTCTGGAGTGAGGCCACCTGCATTCCATTTCCAGCCCCATACTCACCCCTGTAGGTCTTGGGCACTTTGCTTAGGCTCTGTGGCTCTTTCCTCATCTGCAATATAAGCAAGATAATAGCATCTACCTCATGCAGGTGCTGAGGTTGAAATAATCTCTGTGAAGCATATAGAACACAGCCATGTTCTCTTAGCTTTGGGCCTTGCACCTTGTTCCCTCAGCCTGGCCCACTCTGCCTCTCACTTGCTTTCCTCTCTTCACCTCCAACTGTTCCTGCCATCATTGCTTAATTAATGCCCATCCTTCAATCAGGTCCTCTGTCTCTTCCAGGAATCCCTTCCTGGTTCCTCACCCAGGTGTCCCCATGAAGCTGCACCATCTTACCACACTGAATCCTGTTTACTTGATGGTTCCCCGTACCTCTCTGTAAACTGAATCAAGGTCCCTGAACCTCTTTACTGCCAGGGTCTAGCATAGCACCTGCACGGCACCTAGGAGGTGCACAAGTGATTATTGGCTGATGGCCCAGGGAAATGATTAATTCTGAACAGATCATAGGTAGAAGTGATCACACATGATGGATCTGGGCCATGAAGCTGAAGAAGGAATCAGGGATGCGGCAAGGGGAAAGGCCCTCAAGCAAAGGAGCCTTGAAAGGGCATAGGATGGCCTGGCTTAGAAACAACAGCTGTTGCCTACTGAGTATCTAGACTAAGCCAGGCAGCATCCCAGGTGTTTGTGTGGACTGGCTCACTTAAATCCTCCCCACACCTCTAGGAAGCAGGGATTTTCATGCCCTTCCTGCCTTTTACTGATAGGAAATGCCACAAAGAGGTTGAGATACCTGCCCAAAGTAAGCAAGCTAATGACAAACAGAGCAGGCCATGAATTCAGAACCCTCCTAAGCTCTTCAGGAGCTATCCGTATTACTAGGCCTTACTCTCCCTCTAGGAGTTCGCAATTGATCCAGGTGCCTTTGCCTTGCTCACTCCAAGCTATGATAAAGTTTTGGCACTCACTGTGTCATGAATGCAATGTCTCCAACYTGCCTACCTGCATAGAATAATCCACTGTCCGCAGAAATCACTGCTAGAGCCTACGGTCAAAATCCCCATAGCACCTGTCACTCCATCAATAAGATTCTTATCACCCATGAACTTTCTTGGTGAACTTCAGCAGTTCTGCGCTTGCAAATGAAGCATCCTCAGTTACTGTCACTCAGTAAGTGCTTCTCTCTCTCTCTCCAGGACCTACACAGTTTCCATTAGCCAAGGGCAATTAAGCTCTAACCATGGGAGCTCATTAGCAGCCTGGAGAGTCTGGCTTGACGGGAATGGACACCATTCCTGCACCACAAAGGAGCCTAAAGTACCACCCCTTTCTGCTGGCCCACAGTGCACCACCCATCCACTTACTATTGCCAAAGTGTCACCATCACTTAAAGGCAGCTGCTGCTTACCAAGTACCAGCTGTGAGCAGGACACCATTTCCCCACTTTATTGCTGAGGAAGTTACAGTGCAGAGACTTAAGGAAGCATCTTGCAGTAACATGGTCCAGCTGATCTGATTCCAGTCTGTAATCTTACTTGATGATTCAAGACATTGTTTTAAATTAAGTGATGTACCTTGAATTTTTAAATAAAATGTTTGTAATAACATCATGATAATTTCCTTAACTCCAAACAAAGCCTATGTGCCCCTGGATACAAACAGTCCATTCTAAAAAGCATCCTGGCATTTTAATATAGAAATGGATCATGGGAACTCTGAAGAAGCATGGCAGTTAAGCAAATGGCAATTTCAGCATATTTCTGTAAATGCCTTTATTGATAGTTCAGGAGTTTCTTCCATGAAAACACAGAATATTAATGGAAACCTTGATTTACATTCTAAGTTTAACCCATTTAATAATGATGGATTTGTTATGAACCAGCCTTTGTCCCAAAGTATTAATTCTGCTATTTCCCAGCCAGTTGCCTCTAGATCTCCCCAAGGAATGAGCAATGATAATATAGCCTGTCCCTGTTATTTTTCCAGCATCTTCATTTGATCTATTTATAGCAAGAAGTAAAATCAGCAAGTTCAGAAATGGGAGAAAATAAGGTACATTGTTTGACTATTTCTGGTTTTGCTCTGAGATGAACCCACTCAGTAGGTGTTGCCTAGTCCTTATCCACAGCACTCCCCAGGAAGGCAGTAAAGCATCCTACCAAAAAAACCAAGATCCTGGTCTTGAGCTAAGAGTTAACAGCAGAGCCTGAACTCCTGGTGTGTGGGGGTGTGTGTGTGGAGGGGTCCCTATGTGGTCCAGTATAAGGGAAAGTTTCTTGAAGGCACACTAAGGGTTAAGTATTTCACCACAAATGAGCTCAGTCAGTTCCAGACCACCACACAAGGCAGGTGCCATTAGCTGAAGCATTTTACCAATGAAGAATCAGAGCTGCGAAGAGGATGAGTAATTTTCTCAAGTCACGTTCCCAGCAAGTGGTGAATCTAGATCATGTCTCCTCAAGGCTCTGATCCTTCCACCAAATCTCACCGCCCCTGGCCCAACTGAAGAAACACTGGCCTAGTGGTCAGGACGCTGACCTTGGGCATATCACTGTCCTCCTCATATGTGTCTCTCTGCTGTAAAATAAAGAGGACAAGTACCAGCTTCAGCAGCCTAAGGCTTTGGTAACTCAAAGGCTGACCCAGGCCTCTTTTCTTCCAAAAGGCCTGACCCAAGGGGCTATTGTGCCTGCCCTCATATTTGCCAGTCAGATGGCATGTGGCAGTGCATTCCTGCTTCAGGCTATTTCCTCTCTGTGAACCCACAGCTGGAACAGCCAGCTTGATGTTCTCCTGTTCTCAAGTTCCAGGACTCTACCTTATCCTCAATTATCCTAGGACTTGCACATTTATGAAAAGTTGAAAATTAATTGGCTGTCTATTCCTGGAGTCTCGGTTTTTCAAGTGCCATTAGGCYAACCTTCCATAAATAAGCACAAAGTTAAAAAGGACTATTTGAAGCATTCATTTGCATGGATTCTAATTTCTCAAATATTTGAGGCTAACCTGACTAGATAGACATAAATTCAACTTTACTTATTAAAATCTTTTTATCTAAGCAGAAGCCAAGCAATATTTGGAAGGGCATAGTTTTTGGCCACTGCCCAGATTCTAGCTCTAATCCTTAATAGCAGGGCATGTTTGAGTCATTTGCTTTAATGGAGCCTCAGGTTTCTGCACTTGTAAAATGAGACTCATGTCTACTTTAGACATGGAAACAGTATGTAAAAATGCCTCACAGCACAGGGACATATGGCAAGCTCTCAACAAAAAACTAGACCGATAAAAGCTGACGGCTTACATCAGTCTGATAATACCTTACTCAGAGAAATGCCCAACTACCAAGAGGGCCCCCAAGGAGGCAGCTCTTACAGCAGGAGCTCTCAATCCACTGACTATGCATGAGAATCATCTGAGAGCTTTAAACTTTTTATGCCCAGGCCACAGCCCAACCAAAACCTCTGCAGGGAATTCTAGTGATTCCAACATGCAGTAAAGCTAAGACCATTGCCTTGTGACCTGACTTTTCTAAGTTTGGTCCAAAGGGATCCAGGACTCAAAAGGGAGGCCTGGGAGCCATCAGGGCTGGGCAGATACATTCACTGGGAACACAATGTTGCCTGTGCTTGGGGTGGCATTACTCTTGCAGTAACCCCAGTGGTAGTAAGCTTTGTGCAGCAGTTTAACAGGGCCGGGGTGAGGTCTCACCAAGACAAGAGCTACAGTGCACTAGGAAGCAGCTCAGGCTGGCCTCCTGCAGCTCACCATCAGCGATGAGACCACCTGGACACTGTAGAGTGACTGGGTGTGTGCACACAAGAAAGAATGTGACCAGTGCTGTGTGAGGCAGAGGGAAGAACCATTTCTAGAAGCTGTCAGGCAGGTTTTTTGGAGCTGGTGGCTTTGAGATTGGCTTTGACAGATTCTTGTTAGACCTGGACGTGGGAGGGGGGACTCCAGGGGTAAAGGATGGAAACTCTGGTTATGTTCCTAATCTAGTGTGCAGGAGCATGAAAAGCAGGCAGTGTTGCTGTGTGGCTCAAGTCCATTCCCAGTTTCCCATGGATTTTAGGCAGAGAAAAGCTCTTTATAGTCATTCCATTGTGGCTCTGGGATCCAACTCTGCCCTCAAGACAAGGTCACCATGGGGCTTGAAGTCTGCTGCTCACAGATGGTTAAAACATAATTTCCCAACCATGCTTTTTTCTTTTTTTGAGTGTGAAAACAGAAGAAAAAGAATGAAAAGGAACAGTAAGGTATTCTAAGCAGTTAAAATAGGAAATGTTATTACCATTCAAATTAACATGAAAGGYTTAGTCTAATAGATTTTATTCAATCAAGAAAATCTTATCTCAGCTACTCAGGAGGCTGAGGCAAGAGGATCACAAGTTTGAGGCCAGCCTCAGCAACTTAACAAGATAATAGTGATAGGGATGTGGCATGGGGGTAAAGCACACCTGGGTTCAAGCCTCAGTATTCAAGAACAAACAAAAAGTCAATAAAGAAAACATGATCTCAGTGCTTAGGCCATCTCAGTAGGGTTAAGTCTCTGGAGGTGGTTCTTGGGTTATCAGGCAATTCAAATTTGTAGGAAAGTCAGACCATGGAGGATCAGAAGAACCAGATCCACCTATTGTGAGCCTCTTGTGGAACCACTCAGTGACAACTTTAAGGACTTCACAGAGTTCCAATTTCTCATGTAACAGATGGGAAAACTGCAGCCCAAGTTGGGAAGCAGACGTATCAAGCCACCAGTGAGTTGGTGACAATCAGACTCTTTCACTTACACTCTCAGCTTCTCAGGAGAGGGCTGGTGGGCCTGCTCTCTGGACTGAGTGAAGCTGAGGCCCCTGGCCTTCTGCCATTCCCATCCTACACAGGAAACTCAGCAGAGAAGGAAGTGACTTGCTCAAGGGCCAAGACTAGAACTTGGGACTCTTTCTTGCCTCTCAGCCTTCTAATAGCAGCTTCCAAAATGGTATGTAAAAGGAATGGCACATGGTCAGATGGCCAGCCCAAAGAAGGGAATCAAGTTAACAATTTCAAATACAAATAATCTGAACAAATGACTGGGTAAACACTGGTTTCTCTAACAYGTTCTCACTTTCTATGAGTGGTCCTGTTCCTGTGGAGACCACCAGGAGAGGAGCATGGGCCAAGAACTGAAGTGTTAGAGTTAATACTAGGCTATGAGATGGGCACTTARACAACTTGCACTTGGGTCAAGAATTCCATGACTCCTTCTTTGGTGAGGAAGAGCACCTCACCAGTGTTTTGACACCAAACCTCAAAATGTGCAGGGTCCTCCAGGGCCCTCTTGCCAGCAATTATCACGAAGGGGTAGCCGAGCTTGTTGGCATCTTTCAGTCTATTTCCAATGGTAAGATGGGTCCTGTCGTCCAGAAGGACCTCCCCATGGAGCTGAGGCAGAGCCTCTGTGATGTGGTCATACAGGTGCCCCATGAGCTCTGCAGCAGCCTCCTCCTTACTGGCTGCCTTAGGGGGGATGAGGCAGACTTGGTAAGGGGCCAGAAGGCGGGGCCAGCGGATACAATCTTCTGTAGAGAGAACTTCAATAGCAGCAGCCAAGATCCGTGTCACACCCAAGCCATAGCACCCCATTTCAGCCAGGGATGGTTTACCATGAGCATTGGTAAACTGGGCATTGAAAATGGAAGAATACTTGGTACCCAGGTAGAATGTATGTCCTACCTCAATGCCTTTCGTTTCAGTCAGTGGGCCCTGGCAGGAAGGGCAATTCATCTGTGACAAGCCTAGTGTCTCCACGTTGGCTGAGAAGCTGCAGCTTGGACAGACTGCAAGCCGGTCCTCTCCAATATCCACTGGTAGCTGGAACTCATGAGACATTGTGCCCCCAATACTACCCACATCTGCCTGGGCCTTGATAAATCGCAGCCCCAGCCTGTCAAATAGGCTGCAGTAGGCATCACACACCAGGCCATAGGTTTGCTGGGCAGCCTCTGGGGAAGAGTCGAAGGTGTACATATCTTTCATGTAAAACTCTCGGCTACGGAGAAGACCAAAGCGGGGCCTAGGCTCATCCCGAAACTTCCTCGTCACTTGGTACAGTAGAAATGGAAGCTGCTTGTAGGACAGTTTCTTCTGGGAGGCAATAAGGGCAGTAATGGCCTCCTCGTGAGTTGGACCTAAGCAGTATTCCTTACCATGCCTGTCTCTAAGTCTTAGCAGCTCCTTGCCCATCAGGTCCCAGCGGTTGGTGGCCTGCCAGAGTTCTGCTGGGCTGAGGCTGGGCATGCTGATTTTCTGCCCCCCAATCCCCTGCATCTCCTGGTCTATCACTCGCACAAGCTTCTCCATAGCACGAACGGTGTAGGGCAGGAGATGGTAACAGCCAGGGCTTGCTGGGAGGATCAGACCCACCTGCAGCATCAGTCGCTGGCTCTTACAAGTCAGGTCGCTAGATTTTCCCTCCACAGAAAGCACCTGGTCTTCCCGGAGGTTCTGTGGCTGAAACATGCGGGACAATATCAAGCGCTGCCCTCTCCCTGAGGCAGAGTGGTGACACCTGTGGGATATGTATCTGGAGAGCTGGTGGCTGCAGGTGGCCCAGGTGCACAATGCTCTGCATCTTGTCAGTAGCCCTTCCATGACAACCTGGCACAGGGAAGCAGGTACCTGGAGACAAATGAGTTGTGGGGAATGAGCTGTGACTGGGTTCTGAGTCACTAAGAAGCCACTCAGTCTGGTCTCCAGCAAACTTCCAAGTCAGCCACTGACTCTGTAGGTGTGAATCCTTCTATTTCTGATATTCTAGCAGATCAAAGCACTACTTCTCTTACCTTTTATTTCTTTTAAAAAAGTCTGTATTTTTTCTGGCTATGAGAGCATACTAACATGCTGTGGAGACGCCACCAGAAGTGACTGCACGGCCCTGAGACCAGGCAGCCTGGATTCCAGACAGTCTTTTCCCTGACCTTGTGCCTTAGCCCCTGGTGCTCAGTTTCTTCATCTGGGAGATAATAATAATGGGACCTATCTTGAAGGTTTACTGTTGGAATTTAGAAGTTCTTAGAATAGTATCTGGCAAAATACTATGAGCCTACTGATGTTTGCTATTATTGTAGGAAACTGAGAGGGAAAAAAACTAGAAGAAAATCCACTATAATCCCTCAGGCAATTGCTGTGGACACTGTGGCAATCCCTTGTCTCTTTTGCAAGCCCTGCTCTTCCCATCTCTCACCCTGTTTAAAAATGAATTTCAGGTGCCTCGGCCCTCCTCCTTGCACATGACCTGGGCAGTCCGAATCTCCACTCCCCCRTGTGTGGCTCATCTCAAGTTTCAAACCTCCATATTGACCCCTGCCTGGAGAGCACACTGCACAGCTTACTTCCAACTCTGCACCACAGAATAAACTCAACATTTTCCCCAGACCTGCCTATCACACTGAATAGCACTGCAAGCTGTCCTTATCAAACAAAACAAAATCAGAAACCTGGGTATATCCACTCTGCCCCTTGCTGTGGCCACATTCACCAGCTCTCTGGATCCTGTCATTCTTGTCCCCATCTCTATCTTCTCAGCCTGTACCTCAGTCTAGGCCACTGTCATTTCATCTCCCGACTTGCATTCCTGCCCTCCTTCAATCTGTTCCCCCACTGCAGCCTTCAGGGAGGCTTCCAATACAATGCAGTCCCAGTGTTTGTTGCTCAAAATGGCTTCCTGGTGACTCAAGAATAAGGTCCAAGCCTCTGAGCTTCAGGGTGTATACAGCATGCCCCTCCTGGCCATGTCACACCAGTGCCCGCTTCCTGTTCCAGTTTCCCCATGTGCCTCTTTTTWAAAAAATATTTATTTATTTATTTACTTTTTAGTTTTAGGTGAACACAATATCTTCATTTTATTTTTATGTGATGCTGAGAAACGAATCCAGTGCCCCACATGCTAGGCAAGCACTCTACCACTTGAGCCACATCCCCAGCCCTCCCCATGTGCCCCTTAAACACACCGATTCCTCTGGGGAACACAGCCCTTGCCCTGTGCATCCCAACACCTACTCATGCTCCAGGCCTGAGGATCACTGCCTTGTTCTTTGGGAAGCCTCTTTTGTCCCTTTCTCCAGACACCAAACAACTGGCTTCTCCTGCATACCCACTGGTTCCCACCAAACGTGAATCCTGTGTGGGGGATGCTCATTTGGCTGCTGATTCCTCCAGACACTCGGCTCTGTGTGGGCAAGGACCCATCTGTCCTGCTCACCACTGTATTCTTGGCACATGGCAAGACTTACTATATGCTGTCCAGTGAATAAGTATGTTTCCCTGTTATAAGATATTCACATATTTCTAAGAGCAGGACCACCTTACACTGATGGACTACATCAAAAACGATTCTCCAGTCACCAGAGTTGTTGGTTTTCTCTGTTACATATAATTACAATGAACAGATCGCTTTCTTCTTTTTTGGTATATATTTGGGAAACATTTCAGGAAAGGAATTAATGAGTCAAAGAGCATAAAGTCCTTTGAGGCTCTTGATTTACAGTGCCAAATTCAGCTGAGTACCTCAACTTTTCAGCACAGTCCCTGCAGCAAAGCTCTGGGCAGTATGCCAATATGTTACTGATGCCTCCCATCATTGGAGTATTAGAATCCCAAGATTCAGGTCCACCACTTGTCGGTCCCCTTCAACAAGTAGCCTCATCAATTTCTCCTGTGCACTGTACAAATACTAAAAGGTTGTGAGGCACTACCATAGAGCCCTAGTGTGGCTTCACAGAAGTATGGCCTAGAAGAAGGCACATATGGATTCACCCCTGACTTCATCAACTTACATGAGGTCCAACCTTAGCTCAGTGGCCCAAGTAAGAAACTCCTTCACCTTTGACTCCTCCTAAAACAAGAAAGTCTCCATAATTTCTCTCAGGTCCACCCACTTTTTTCTACATTACAATAGTCTAGTGATCCTGAAATTCAATGGAGCATCAGAATCACCTAACAATGAATATCAGCGCCTGTAATCCCACTGGCTCAGGAGGCTGAGGCAGGAGGATCATGACTACAAAGCCAAACTCAGCAACTAAGTGTGGCCCTAAGAAACTCATCGAGACTGTCTCTAAATGAAATATAAAAAAGGGCTGTGGATTAGGTGTCCCTGGGTTCAATCCCCATACCAAACAAAACAAAACCAGAAAACCCACTGGTTGCCAAGTCTCAACCTCAGAGTATCTGAATCAGTAGGCACAGGCTGAGAACTCACATTCCTAACAAGCATCCAGGCGGTGCTGATGTGCTGTTTCAGGGACCACACATGGAGAAACACTATAGGGACCAAGTTGTGCACGTGTGCTGACTGGGGCTGTAAACTTCATGAAGACAATAACCTTGTCTATTTTATTCCAGGTAGTATCTGCAGCATCCAGCACAGTGCCTGCACACAGTGCTGAAAGAGTCTTTTTACCTGTCAGTTCAGTCTCCACATTACTGACAAAAAGGTAGCTGGTCAGAACACTCTACTACTTATAATCCATTAACAACTCCCCATCATGTTTTCTCGGAATGGCATCAAAGTTTTTCATATTTTGATCTCAACACATCTTTTCCAGCTTTTTATCCTACCAATTCCTTAACATGCCCCAAATTACTAATCATTCCTGGAACAGGCCAACCTCCAACTCCCAGCAACTTCAACACACCATGCAATGTTTACTTATCTCCAGAAGCTTCCTTCAGGACAGAGAGCCACTTCCTTCTCCAAACTCCTTTGGCACATGCTTCCTTGCAGTGTACTGTACTGCAGCCACTTCTAAAAAATATTTCTAAGTGTCTTTGTATTGGGAGTGAATGTTTCATGTCCTAATCCTCCATTAAACTATTAGTTCATGAAATTTATACACTCTTAGACTTAGGGTCTAGCACAATGCCTAATATTTGGGCAATTATTAATAACATTTCTTGATCAAATATTAAAAATGAAGAGAACAGGGATGCAATGATATAACTATTTGTGTAATTTAAATAAGAGTCTTAAGCCCTCCCCCACCAAATGTGTGCCTGTTCTCTGCTTACACAAACAGAATAATTAGTATTTTATCTTATTTTTCAAAATATTGGCCACAAACAATATAGTAATAGAGTAACAAATATGGTAACCAAATAGTAATGAATGGGACCAAAACTTCAAATCTAGCAAAGAGCCTCTGAGTCATTCACATTCAGCAAACTTTTACAGAGTACCTACTCTGTGTGGAGCTGCTGGTGCTTCCTCATCAGGTCTTTTAAAAGACTCCCAACTGCCCTGCATGCAATTCAATCAGGAAAGTTGTACAATAGTGTCGTACAACTTTGAAAGTGTTTACAATAGTGCTGGGTGCACAGTTAAGTGCCATAATATTTACTGCTAGTAGTAGTAGTACCAGGGTGCTTGAGAAATCTCTCGTCAAGCAGAAGCAAATCGGCACATGGTCAACCTTGGAAGACAATAAACACTCCCCGCTCCCAATCCAATAAAACTGCAATGGAACCTCACACCGGGTTCTAAGAACTGGCTAGGCCTTCACTTAGGAGTGACCCTGAATCAGTCACTCCACTGCCGAGACCTGCTTTCCCATTCCTAGAACGGGAAGCTTGGCTCGACCACCAGGTGATTCCCGAGGCCCTTCCAGGGCCGGCTTCTAAGAACGCCGATTCTCATGACCACCCGACGCAGTCAAGGGCGGAAGTGCTGTCCTCACTTTTCCACCTAGAAACCTGAGACAAGGTGACCAGCCGGATCCATCCAAGAGTTCATGTGATTGTACCCCGCCCCAGTTCAAGGACGGGACACACGTAAGAAAACGAACACCAGGTCCAGGGTCCCCACGCCCAGAACCCTGGCCCGCTGCTCTCCTCCCGCTGTCATCCACGCTCACCACCAGCAGTCCCGGCCAGCGCCACCCGCTCGTCCACCCCGCCGAGCCAGCGCGCCTGCGCCAGCTCGCGCTAAACCCTGCCTCCAGACCTTCTCGCCAATCGCAAGGCCACACTCACGGGGATGGGGCGGTGCTCCCTGGACCATTCTGTGGTCGCGCGAGTGCGATTTTCCGGAAGTTTAGTCGAAGAGAGAGATGGGCTCTCCCCGAGATCATAGATTGGCCTGAATCAGTAGATCACCATTCCGGAAGTGCYCTCTAGGAATCAGGGAGGCTTAACTCTATGGTCAAAGCCAACTCTAGAAGATTTTGCCTTAGTGTTCTCTCCCACTACCCCTCCCCATTCTCCAATGGGAGTGCTGCTGGCTGCAATGTAACTATGACAACCTGCAGGCCATCCACCCGATGATTATTCAGGATTTCAATGTAAAATTTTTAAATTGTGAAATGGTTGCAGAGAGGCACTTTTATTAGTGTCCAAGATGGTCCTTAAGACACAAATTCAAACTTTCATTTACAAAATTTTTGGGGGGGATCGACCTTGTATGATCCACTGTTGCAGACACAGGGAAGAGTGAAGTGAACAAAAACAGACAAAATTACTTATGTTCAGTGTAGCTTACATTCTAGAGAAGGAAACAATTAACAAACTAGTCTGGCGAAATTTAAGCAGTGCAGGAAGGGGGACTACAAGGACCGCAGTACTAAAGATAAATAGCATTTTAATACAATTATTTTTAAAAATAAAAATTAACACAAAAAACTACAGCGAAAAATTATCAAGATTTTAAATAATGACACAGTCTGTCAGCAGGTGTTAGTTGCTTTGGAGAAAAGCTAACTCAGGAAGGAGAATGGAGTGGGGATTTGAGAGGTGGCAATTAAAAAGGATGCTCAAGGGAAACATCAAGAAGGTGACATTTTAGCAAAGAACCCAAAGAGGTGAAAGACATCCTTGCAGATAGATGTCTGGAGGAAGAATATTCCAGACCCAGGGAGCAATATGATGTGCTTCTGAAGTGGCACCTCCTTTCTCCACTGAAAAGTTTTAACCGGGCCTCTCCAGAAATCTTCACCATGGCTGATTTTAGGACTGTCAGCAAAAGAGTCTCTGCAAAAGAGTTCAATGTAAATAAACTTCCTATTTTTGTGTTGCCCTGTTTTACTTGGCCACTGGCCGAGAAGATACCAGTACTCCAGTTGCTGGATACTCCCTTACTAGTTTTTGACAAACGTATCCAGTATAGTACTTTTAAGAAATGTGCAAACAAGGCCTCTGGCCTTGAGCTGGGCTTCACAGAGATGTCTACATTTTTAAGGTAAGTTACAAATGGGTTCCATGGTAACAGCTGGCAAGGGGAGGAAAGAAAGGGGGGAAGAAGCTCTCCCCTTCTCAGGTGTTGACCTTGAAGAGTTAACTTGCCCAAAACAGTGAAAGAAAAAGCTGCTTTTTTTGTGAACTTCTGCAGACTGTGAACTTCTGAGCCCCTSCCCTTACATGCTGGGTATAAAACTCTGAAACTCCCTGAACTGGGGGTTCAGGGGAGTAATTGATTACAGCAAAAGCTGTACCCTCTGAACCTGGCTGCAGCCAAATAAAACTGTTTCCTGCTATCTTCAGTGCCTTGCCTCGTTTGTCCCTAAACACTTCAACAAGAGCTGCATGTTTTATAACTCTACCTAATAACAACTACAGTATATAGGATGCCTAAAATGTGCCAGAGCAGATGTAAGACACTGGTGACTCTGATGCTGACCCAAGCAGCTCGCTGCTCTCAGGGAGCTTCCAGGAACCATGTCATGATATCAGTGGTGGGGGGAGGGGGCACTAAGCAAAATCCTGAGGAGCCTGGAAAAGGAGGGCTTCACTGAGGAGGTGAAGATTAGCAGGACAAGAATGGCAGTGGGAGTGGAATGGAACATCCACGCAGAGGGCCTAGGACACTCCAAGGCACAGACTGGGAAATGATGAGCCAGGGTGAGGAGGTGTGGGATGTGGTGGAAATTATATCTTTATTTCTTTTTTTCATTTTTTTTTTAGTTGGAGTCGGACATAATACCTTTATTTTATATATTTATTTTTATGTGATGCTGAGGATCGACCCAGCTACTGCTGAGCTTCAACCCCAGCCCTCATCTTTATTTCTTTACARCTTTTAACACCATCTTGAACCTCAGGTCAGAGCAGTGGTTCTCAGCCTTGACTATACTGGAATCACCATGTGCACCCCCACACACCCCACCCCACCCAAGGTGCTAGTAAGAAACTGATGTGACTCCATTTTGGAAAAAAGCTTCTACCTCAAAGCCTTTCCAAGGAGAGGGGAGTGACCCTTGTCCTTGGAAAAACCCACAGAGAGCTCCTAGGCACATACCCACCCTGCTGAGTTGTTTGTCTGCAAATAACAGGAGAGATCTGTGGCGCCAGGTGTCCCCGACTCAGTTAGGCTAGGCGAGGACCCATAGCAACCCCCTAGCAACCACCAATCAKCATGAGACAGGGAAAATACCTGGGATGCCAGATGATCCCCTAGTTATAGTGGTTGATAACATGTTGAGAAACCATGTAGTTTGGAGACCCCTCGTGGCTTAAACCAATCAGTTCAGAGAAATCCCCCTCTTGTACAAGAGCTGCATGTTTTATAACTCTACCAAATAACAACTATGGTGTATAGGATGCCTAAAATGTGCCAGAGCAATTTGGGTAGCAATCACCCCTACCCAACTTGTTCCCGCCAGTGATGTGCTAATCAATGTTAAGAGTTGTTGTTTGACTTTCCCGAAATGTGATAATGATTTGCTGTGTGATGTTGTGACACATAGAGTATCCCCCAAAACCTATAAAATCTCACTGGACAAAGAACCGGGACTCACTCCCTGGGACCACTGTGTCGGGAATGGTTGTGAGTCCAGGCTCGAGCTTGCAATAAAGACTCTTGTGTGATTGCATCGGATTCGGCTCCTGGAGGTCTATTGAGGTCCCACGAATCTGGCATTACACTAGCTATCAATCTGAGGTGAGCCTGGGCAGCAATATTTTATAGTCTTCCCCAGAATGAGTTCAATGCGCAGGCAGCTGGTCTACAGAAATGTCCCTAGACAGCCTAGTGAGGAGAATTCAGGGGGACGGTGGGTGTACCGTATCATTACAATCACAGATTAGCAAAATGCAGCTGGGCTGGAAAATACCAGGGCACTAGGAGGCCAGGCAGAGCTGAGTGGACCTGAGCTCTGTCTATAGGAGCCCTGCTTGTCCTCTGTAGCCCAGGACTAGGGGTGGGGCTTTCCCTAGGCTTTGAAGGGATGTACTGGGGCCACATTCCCCACTCCTCCTTGGGGGAATGCAAGGCCAAATCAGCTTCAGAATTTCCCGTGGTTCACACTTCTAAAGTAGCCTTTYATTTCTCCATGCTCCCTTACATGTTATTACATCCCTTCCAATCCTGGAAAAGCCAGGCAACCAGTCTTCTGTACCCTGAGGTGTTAATTATTTCTCAATTAGCAGTTCCCAGGCTGTAGAGCATAGTGGTGTGGAGAGGCCTAATGACTTGCTGTGTTTATAAACCCCCACATCTTCAGAGCACTTACTAGTGGTAACTAATTAATGCTCACGACCCTCTTGGGAGGCAGGCCAAGAAAGCTGCATTTTACTGAGGGTTTGCAGGAAACTCTCAGCCTGGAGCCGCAGAACCTGGTCAAGACAGCCATAGTCAAAGTAGATTTCCTCCCTGCCCAGAAAGTCCAGAGTGGTCGAGACCCAGCATCTGGCCCTGTCACTGCTAGCAACTTCCTGCGTGACATTTCATACACACACACACACACACACACACACACACACATGTAAATATATATTTTTTAGTTGTTGATGGACTTTTATTTTATTTATTTATGTGCAGTGATCAGAATCAAACCCAGTGCCTCACACATGCTTGGCAACTGCTCTACCACTCACTGAGCCCCAGTCCCAGCCCCCTGCCTGAATTTCAAGCCATCAGTTGCTCAGCAATTTATTGGATGTCTTGGTTTACAGAGTTCACTCATGATTAAAGCCCCACAAGTTAAAAAAAAAAAAAAAAGAAAAGAAAACCGGAAAAAATTCACTCATATATTAGTTATCAAAAAGGAAAATGAGCAGGACACCATGGCACACACCTGCAGGTGAAGGTAACAGGATTGCAAGTTTGAAGCCAGCCTGGGCAACTTAGAGAGATCCTGTCTTAAAATAAAACATAAAAAGGGAGTGAGCTGGGGATGTAGCTCAGTGATAGAGCACCCGGGAGTTCAATTTCCAATACTGAAGAAAGAAAGAAAGGAAGGGAGGAAGGGAGGGACGGAAGGAGGGAGGGTCATTTGCATTGACAGAGTCCTTGCTATGTRTTGTCCTTATGTACAGGAGCAATATTGAATATTTTCCACCTGTATCCAATTATATCCTTACAACACTTCATTAAGTATGAACATCATTGTGATATCCCTTTTATAGATGAAGCAACCAAAGTTCACAAGGTTGGTTAGCTTGTCCATGGCCAACAAAACTACTAAAAAGGGAAGAAAGGAAGCACGCTCAGGTCCGCCAGACATACAGCCCCATGTCTGCACTCACAGCTTCCAATAGCAGCTTACTTGTAGCAAGCACATTTTAACTCAAAACCAATGTTGTGTGAGCACAACCCAAACAGACCCTGTCATCTGAGTTGGTCCCTCTGTCTAGAAGCCTGCTCTTCAGGGCCTAGTACAGTGGTACCCTCTTTAGGACCCCTTCTGCTATAGTTTGGATCTGGAATGTCTCCGAAAGGTGCCAGTGTTAAAAACTTGGTCCCTAGCTCTGATAGGGTGAGTCTTAAGGCAGTGGAGACTTTAAGAGGTTATTGGGGGGTATGCCCTTGAAGGGGTTGTGGGACTTCAGTTTTATGCTTTTGCTTTCCTGCTATGAGGTAAGCAGCTTGCTCTACCACATGCTTCCCACCATGATGTGCCGTCTTGCCATA